AGTTTGGGGATCAGTTGCTGATCCAGAATACGTGCTTTGGCACGTTCGAAGACCTCATGTGCTTCCCTTGCTCATGCAAACTCCCGATTTTGTCACAAGTTGTACAGTGGAGCAGCATTCTTGTTGAGATCCTTGACAAACCAACTGTAATATGCTGTTCACTCGAGAAACCTCCGCTTTGAACTGGGGACTACACAGTCCTGGATCGCTCGAGATGATGACTGGGGGAGTGAATTGCCGTTTCATTGGTACCTGCCTTCTTTTGACTAGTTAATCGAATCAGTTGAAATAGGGTGCGACTGTTGCCTGCAGCGAAAGCTCACTCTATCTCCATAGACTCTCACATGTAAAAAAGACGCTCCGTACCCTTCCGGTACCTAGCTGCCATGCTACCCGAAAGAAGCACGACGGCTAATATATTGCCAGGTTTCCCAAGCCTAGACAGAAGTTGACATGCAGAAGTCGATTTCGAACCACGGACTTTCTTGCCAGTAAATTCGCGCTCTAATTACTTCAGCCATATCACCATCTCACATGTCCGGATGTCTGAGAATACAAAGAACGTATCATGTTACAAACTTCGGAGCATTTCTTGATGAGCAAGCGTATCATGGAGAACAGACCGGTCAATCGGGTCCAATATGTACACTGTACGCATAACGTTGTTTTCGCAGGGAGTGTAAAGATGTGTTGAACTCAGCCCCAATCAGGCCAGAGCCCCACTTGCTGCTCTTGAGTTAGTGTTTCACGGGCCACCATAAGACGACGAAGCACAACGACACCAACGGTCTCGTTATGACCGGAGTAAAACGGATATCTTTATGGTTACCACACTCACTAAGGGTCCTTTTTTTGATAATGGGCACTATCACTCTCTCAGTTGTTCGGGACAGTCGCCTTTTCCCACACGCAAGTAAACAGATTAGACAAGCGCTGATTGAGGAATTCACCCCCAAGAGGTCATCGGGACCAGAACCTCGGTGAGGTTTAAGAGAACACTTGCAGCCGTGAACCTCCGAGGCCGTAATAGTTTCCATCACCATCCAGGATTCTACGTCAGCTGTAGGTTTCAGATGAGTGGCAGCTGGTGGCCAAAATAACTGCTGTCCAAAGTATTCGGCCCACCGGTCCAGACAGTTTTCTTTATTCAAGATGGTCACCCCATTCTGATCCTTGATGGTTTCGCTCATTGGTGGTTTCCGGAGACAGGCCGCACGGATCAACTGAGATAGCCCCCCGCCATTACCGGCTTCATGAGCCTCTTCCATTTCCTTGGCCTTCCGTATCCTCCAGATTTGCGCGCGCACTCACTTTCACTCCACGTCTGATAATTCGTAGGACCAAATTACGGACAGGATCGGCTGGAATGTTTCCGAGATTTAAGCAGTGCCACTGGTCTGATATCCAGTGCCTGAGTGGATCTGATAGTGCCATGCCACAGGCGAAACTCCCAACGCTCTGCAAGCAGTTGGCGATCTCGTTCCACTCTGAAGTCACATCTGATGGTAGGGCACTTGGAAGAATCTAGAAGACGACGCTGGTGAGTTCGTCTAACATTCAGATCTACCAGGCTGTCAGTCACAAGGCGACTTTTCCGCACTTTACACGGCCCTGACCAATATCGCCGAGTGCTGAGAGCCACCCATTTGGGGCGTGACATTGCGCGCCCTGGGTTCATTAAGTGACAACCTTATCAAGGTGTGAAGACTTGTGCGGCTCTGCAACCCATTGAGCTACATTGGGGAGTGAACACGTGACACTCACAGATCTTACGAGTTGACAGAAGTTTGACTGAGAGTCTTCTGTATCCGGACTGGGGGTTGGAATATTTGTGGCGCATTGTTCCTTAAAATGCCCGACATGTCCGTTCACCACGCTTTGCCGTTAATTGAAATATCCGGTCATGAATCAGCTACCGCGGTTAATGACACATCGAAACCATTCTTTGAAACCTCGACATTCGGTTCATCTGGAAGCTTTTAACGTTCGCAATCCGAAACATGTTGGATGACAGACTGCTCTTGCTTGTACGCTCAACTTCGTCAGCCGGTGTTTGTTCTCTCCGAAGTGAAGAATCAAGACCAAAGGCTGTTAAACTGACCTCCAATCAGTTTCTTATTGCTTTCGGCCGCGAACATTTGGTGATCCAGGAGCCGCCACGAGCGGTCCTGCTGGGGTTGGTAATGCGTTAAACCCATTAATAGTTGTCCGCGCAATTTGTTTGGCAACGTCTATGACAGCGACCCATAAATGCGCTGATAATTACTAGGAGTTCGTCACGTTTGCCCACAGGCAGTAGCTCTGGTACTCCGAAAAAGGTTTTAACGACGCTTTGAGAGATTTACTTCGGCGGATTAAGAGCCCAAACATTGTTGCGGCTGCGGATGTGAATGTGTAAGTAGGTAAACTTAAGACTGTTGAAGCGGAATTGTGTAGTCGCCTTGGACTGAAATCGAGACGCACGAAAAACGGTGAACAGCTGCTAGAGTTGTGAGCTGACCACAGATTGTCCTCGTGCAATGGTGAGTCCCGAAGCAACCGAAAGGCGCTTGCTTACATAGTCGCCTCCACATGGTCCAAATAGATCACATCGTCATTGTCTAAAAGTGAGGTGGGCCGACTAATGACTGACGCTCGTTCGAGATTATCTAGGTGTTCGCCTGTTGTTGCTTGTGTTTGGGCTTTTCCGAGGTGCGAAAGGCACGCACATCCGGCATGGCCATTGAGAAACTCTCGGATCCTAATATCAACCAAACTTACCCAAGTCACCGAGTGGGGTTTCTTCTGGACAATTCACTTCCTGATGTCGGCCCTTCCTATCCGAAACCCTGCAAGGTGCTGAGTACCCTGCTTGTGGAATGGTGCAACCAACTACATCTAAGTGCTAGATTTCGACAAAACTACAAAACCTGGGTCAGAATGAAATACAGCTCGAAGAGATGCCAGAGCTCGGGTAAAAAGCCACATGTGCGCTGGTCGTGAGGCCCAGTACGTTCAGAAGGCAGAAGAGATGGAAGTTAGAGACTCACAGATTATGTGAAAGCTACTCAAGTTGATAGGCGTGATGGGATCAAGAAAGCCTTTGGTAAGCGAGACAGTTGATGATATAAAAGGTCTGCTCACCTCTAGGAAAGAACGCTTGAGTCGTTAAGCTGACTAGCTTTAACAGCAACCTAACTGGCTACCTTCGACTGCGATTCCCGTTCCACAGTGGGGTCCCGGAAAATGAACCAGGAACCTCAGAGGATGTCAAAAGCGGACGAAAATCTTTTTTCCCTAAAGCGTCAGAGAGCTGTCCGTCCTGACGAGCTCCCACTCGTTCTGTTTAAAGATGGTGGAATCCGCAGTAAGTTTGTCTAAATTATTTACCACTATTTCGGTGAGGGAGACCGACCCTGCCAACTGGGATGAGTCAATAATGGTGCCCGTTTTCAAAAACGTTGCTCGCAGAGTGTAGCGATCACAAAGGAAATGACTTGTCCACCACATCCGTAATCAGGCTCTGCGTCACTCAGTTTACAACGATTTACGAAGGAGTGGAGGCAGCGATGACTCTGACTGGAAAGGAATGCTGTGGATCACATCTTCACGTCGCGTCAAATGTTAGAACAAAAGTGTGTATGGTTGTGTTATAGCCTTGATGTACCTTGCCGCTGGCACTGTTGATCAATTCGCTTTCACGAACACACTTGTGTAATAGGGTATATCCAAGAAATTCATAAATATTACATACTTGTGGGCGCCACTGTATGGGTATCCCCCCTGAAGCTTTTTTAAAGGCATTCATGAATGCGAAACCTGTCCAGTATCCATTTTTAGCTGATTGATGAAGGGTTCACCAAAACCCATGTTGAAATGTCTGCCCACGAATGACTTGTCGACCTGGAACACAACATTACGTCCATTTTTTGGAAAGCAGGGAGTGCAAGTGCAATCAGAAAAGCTGAACAAGGTCACCAAATTTTGCACTAGGCATGCTACCAGACTTAAAGTCTTTGTGCATATCTCTAATAATTCAAATAATCCTGTAACGTTTTACATGTATCCAGGATGTGACACCGGCTTTAATAGCAGTCTAACAACGGATCTCAAAGACCAGAACCCCTTCACTCTTGTACTAGATGTGGCATCAAAATGGATGTCACTGGATCCTAAATGACCGTGCATCAGACCCCAAAGTGAGTTGTATTTTTGTATGGCTGCAATGGTATGAAATACCTTCAGGTTTCTGGCCGCCGATGTCCTCGAAATATTGGTCGAATAGACCGGAATCGGGTATTCGGCGAAGCAAACGGCACTTCACCCAGGTAGCGCAAACCATAGTAGCTGGACCATGTTCTGCGCATGCCGAATTACCACCTGACGAGACCAGCCTAAACGCGAAAAATACGATTTGGCATAAGTGAATGAAAGATATTGTTCAAATTCCAGGATAATGACCACGTGGTCCCCTGTGTTTGGCTGGGGGCACTGAGATACAAATAAATAACCGCTCGGCCGTAACACCCCTTCGGTGACTAGCTGCCATGCCACTCGAAGAAAGCTTGAGGGCAGGGATACTTCCTGGTTGCTTATGCCCAGAAATGAGTCGAAATGCAGAAGTCGGGTTTGGGGTATGGACCTTCCGGTAAGTGAACTCACGCTCTAACCACAGCCATCTCACTCCCAGGATACGGCAGTTAACCGATGTCACTGGATTGCAAGTTGTCAGCGTCTATCCAGGATGGGGACGATACGCTAAATACCCAAGTGTACTGTTCTTCTTCTTAATTCCCTAGACTTTACCATCATCATTATTATCAAGTATGGCGTGTTCGGCGGTGAGCACACACAACACGTAGCCTAAGTACACTTCGGCCATATGCAAACGAACTGTTACAAGCAGTAAAACATTAATGGTCCTCGTTGGCGATATTGTCAATGAAGATGAATGAAGTGACTGTGGAGAGATGACTATGCCTAGTCACTCGAGCTCTTCCGTGTGCCCAAAAGTGACTTACCGTCCATCACACACCATTCGTTGTCTATTTGTTTGTTTTGTATATATGAATCCTCAATTGTTGGGTCATGATCTTCCTGAAACATACGCTGGAAATACTAAAACCAGACATTATTTAATGCACACTAGTTGTACCCACTTGAATCGTTAAAGCTGATTTGCCCACGCCCCCATCGCCAACTACCACGATTCGGTAGCGTGGGCCATTCCAGGTATCTGCAGGTAATCGCTTGGAGGCCATTACTTGGAACGCAGGATGAGGCCGGGCAGGATACCCAGATTGAAATCGTCGCCGCGACTACAGGGAACGACCAGCGGAGATCGGCGCGGGGTTGTGCGCTCGACCCAATTAGCCGGGGATGACCTTGAAACAGTTCACGGGCCCACGAATTCAGATATTCATGAATTCACAGATCGATTGATTGATACTCAGGATCGAAGCTATCACCCAAGTTTCCCGATCGGTTTTGTTCTCGTCGTTCAGCGGCTTCCGTTCACTTGAAAGGTAAAGCGAAAAAGAGTGTAGAACTGCTCTTCATGTTCTCAGCGTTCGGCGGTAAGTTTACCGGCGCCAGGATTCACATAAAGAGCGTCTAATAGTTTTTTTTAAACTGGGTACTAGATGTAGCGTGGACAATCGTCGGATGAAGGTCATTTCACACAGCAACTACCCGAAATGGGAAAAAAATTTTCTCAATGAAAATGTGCGCTCTGAGCCTGAAAATCCTAACATGTCCCACCATATATTAACTGGGTCAACGGTGAAAAAACAGTCTGTCAAATCCTGTTAAAAGACCAAACATAAGCACGTTTTATATCTCCTCGGAGTCAACGATACTTCAAGGGAAAAAGGTCAAGCGCCGCGGAGCGCCTTCTCTAGTCCACGGATTTAAGGCCAGCAACAATTTTCGTATCAGCTCGTCGAGCACGCTCAATTAAGATTGTGTCCTTCTTGCGTTCTGAGTTGACAACTTGGTTGGCATATTCAGGGAGCGGTCAGACGTAGGCCCAATGGAATGCCTCTAAGTCCATGCGAACAATACAGCAGGAAGAGCTCCGAACCACCCTTAGAACGGCAAATGACTTTTAAGCCGGCCTCTCATGGTGCAGTGGGAAGGACTCTTGAGGGGCGCCAGATACCTCAATCCCCTTCTGCATCCATCATACTCTTGAGGGGCGCCAGATACCTCAATCCATCACCGGCGAGGGTGTTTACTGAGTCCCCAGGGAATGACATACGTACGCGCTCGCCAACAGCCAATGACTGACAGCGTCTACATCCATTAGGAGTCCATTGGCATTTTTTACGAAGTCGAAAAATTTGATATCTGATATGAGTTCCTCGTTTTCGGTTTGGTTCGTCGCGAAAGAACGGTTTGAGAGTAATCCCTGTTGAACTGGCGACATCGAGTTGTGTTGATAAGGTGAGCTAGGACGGCCCGCTTCAGAATGGGCCGCATCACCTTGCACGATACGCCATTGAGGTTAATAGGCCTGTGGCTACCGGTCTGCACGCCATGGCAAACTTCACCGAAGTCTCGCAGAAGTAACAGCTTGTCGATCTACTAAACTTTGCGTGCTGTGATCCTAACTAGTTGCTTCCAGTGATAATGCCGCATTTATACTCAACTTTCCTTTAAAGTGTCTGATATTTACACACCCATCGTCTGAAGAGCAAAAAAGAACACCAAAGTCGTCAGCAAGGTTTTTCTGATGGATACAAACTTGCAGAAACCCTTCGCATCATTATTCTACCGTTAAAATAACAATAATAACGGTGTTTTTCTGAACCTGTGGATGGTATAACTTCGGGCATGATCATACGTTTAGTCAGAATGAATCTTGATTAGGGGAATCTGCGGGTATTATAAGTGAGCGTAACACAGGGCAATGTCATAAACAGTGAAAAATATCTGATGGAAAATAATAATAATAGGTTCATTTCCCAACTTGCTGAATGAGGCATGATCGGGTTACTACAACCTGAACGCGGCAGGCAACAAAAAAGAACGGGATAAATGTGAAACCAACGAGGCAGGTCTATCAAATAAAAAGTCATCCTGGTTGCGGGAACCGAAGAAATAGAACAATCGACATGAGGTCTGACTAGTTCAAAGATGAAGCCGGCTGACATGAACTAAAGGCGAGAACAATTGCTGGCCATGAGTGGCCTTGGGAGGTTGAGTAAATGGCCAGAATCGCAACAAGCAAAGCTGGAGATGGAGATAGGATAATTTGGAGTAGAAGCAAATGGAAAGTTATGTCCTGAAAATATGGCTAGACCTGAAAATAAGGAGATTCACTAGTTCCTTTGTTGCAGGGAAGTCAGCGCAATGGATAGGATCGGAAGTAGCGATAATGCATAGGGCTAAATGAACACCGTATATGGGATTGAACATATGGAACAGGCAGATCGAAATTGCAGCAAAAAACCAGGTTGGTCAGATCCGAACGAAAGTTTCGTCGGGTAAGAATGAACTCGTCCAAGAGGCGGTTAGGACCAGATGGAAAATTTCCTCGTAGTTGCAACTACAGTCTCGAGTAAGCGGGAGATTTCGGCCGAGATTCTGGAGGAAGTGGTTGTGAGAGTGCCTCCACACTGGGTATGGCAATGCCATGCCATCATTGCACTGACATACTTCGGTTTACGGACAGCCCCATAACGGTCGTCAAGCGTGCCGGGGAAGGGATAGGATAAGAGCTGTATCGTCTATTGAGCGCCAGGAGGCATGAGATAAAACGGTTTCAATAGATGAAAATCTAAAAGGGGATGACAGCAGCCTAAACGGGCCCAGAAAATGGTGGATTTGTTTGCTGACCCAGAAACCAATTGCTGGCTGGGCCAGAGTAGGTGCCTAATTTGGGGAAGGTAAGGACTTTGTCGTTGAGATAGCAAGCAGGGAGGCTAGCCGTTGGACTGTTTGGAAGAGGCGATTACATGGCGGAAGTGTTTAGCCTACAAAAGAATCCGAATATAGGACCTCCGTTGTGCAAAGTGGGGTTACAGTGGACGAGGACATCATATAAGTAATAAGTGGTCGGGCAACAGCTTCCGAGATTATGGTTAAGAACCGTAGTTAAACTGAAATCTACGTCAACTTAACATTAAGGTATGAGGAGCGGTCTACAGTCACCGAGGCACTGCTGTCACCTCGAAGAAACGAAAGGTGAATGGCACTAGTTGTGACTACTGGCATGCAGAAAACATTAAGGAATTTACATTTTACATGTACATGGTCACTTCAGAGAACAAAAGGTAAGAACGTATGTGTTATGTGTGGGTGATGAAGTGGTCTTGGGATGATGCAACCCAGCTAAGACGGAGATGGGGACTCCTTGCACGTTGAAGTTAGCCATAAGCCTCTCACAGTAACTTCGGGCTACCCCATGCATATAAATTTCAAATCAAATGAATCGACAGCGGAAACGGCGTGGTAAGGAAGGCTAGAAACGTAAGAATGACGGGGATGGGACTTGTAAGATGGTAGAAAGCGCTAGGACAGTTTAGGATGGAAGGTGATTGAAAGAGGGATGGTCACCTTTCCCCGAAGCACTACTATCAGCTATAATTTACAAGTGGTGCTGGCTTAGCATGCTGGTAGCGGTGTTCGCTGTATCCCTGTATATACATATTATATGTCCAGTCCGGGGGCAGCAGGTAGGTGTGTTCTTTGTTTGGTTGCAGAAATTGGTTTTGGTGCGGTGTATTCTCTAATCTGACGAAGGCAGATACATCTATGCTTGTCGATGTAGGCCATGGGCATCGCAGAGTTTCTTCAGGTCATCCCAGGTACATTGTTTTTTGGCACAAGAGGCCGGCTTTTATCGTCCGTTTTACGGCGTTGCCGGAGAACTCAACCGAGGCCAGCAAAACACCAACAACAACAAACAGAAGTCATCGGTGCTTTTTTGCTTTCCTGAATTTAAAAGCCAGGCTTGAAACCACCGGTGATGTCGATGTACCCGTGCTAGTGGAGGGGTGGCGGGCATATGAACGCACTACGGTGCAACGTAAAAGGGCGACCCTCCATGTACGGCTTATCCGCTTACAACACGAGGTTTTCGTCCCTCGTGCACGCTACCAGATCTGCATGGTGACAAACCATCCAAACAGACCCAAATGTGGTTTATGCAATGATAAAATACTCCAGCTACCAGTCTTCCGGTTGGGGAAAAGCGAGGCCACTTGTAAAAGCGAGTGGCGGAGGAGCCAAGTGAGGCGACAGCTGTCAATGAGACAATGTTAAGGGAATGGTGATATTCAGGGTGAGTGCTCCATGGTTAAACGATGTCTGAGCGTTGGTGTGAGCTACCCTGTCAAGCAGAGGCGTACCGCAATGTTGTGTGTGTGAGTATATTAGCGAGCTGTGGGGGAAATCATCAGATGGATACACATAAGCGTAGGATGCTCTCTGATAATGATGAGAAAGCTTAATTTGGTTTGTTTATTGTCAGTTAGAATTAGCCTGAGAGCACCAGTCACTGGACAGAGCTGGTGTAGTAATAGGGCGTAGGGGCTTTACTAGGACGAGATATAGGTTTTCTAGGGAAAAAAGAAAAACGACCCGGCCAGTAACACAACATATTTAGATCATGTAGGCGTTAAGATAGGAAGAAATGATAACAGTTTCTTTTACTCGCCTACTAACCGTATCCTCGGTAAACTCAAATGCGCACTGCACCCGGTTCGTTGAGGAGGTCTGGGGTAGATGAGTATTAAGCAAGACGCAAAAACTTTCACAAATGAGGAATTTGTCTATGAAATGAGAAAAAGTATGATGATGCCTGATGTTTCCCAGCTACTCGGGAAGGCTGCTTCGGAGGTGAGCATAATAAACTAGAAGGAATTTGTGCCGTAAGGTTTACGAGGTGTAGGACACACTAAGAGGTTGCGGAAGTTACGGAATCTGTAGCGGGAAAGTGAGTTTAAGTTTGGTCTAGCCTCTATTATAAAGGCGTTTTGTGTTCAGCAGACGGTATAAGAGAGTCAGATTCATCTTCAGTCCTCTGACCAATTGTGGTTCGAAGCCCAGGATTCGATAATAGGAGCGATAGGAGGGGGAACAGCTTTTCCGTGAATATACTTCGGACACTTTCAATCGCGCGTCTGCAGCTTTGGGTTTAAAGGGAGAAGAGTGCGGGACAGAATTCCACGATTGGCCTTACACAAGGCTTAAAAATTGCAGTGAGGGCGCAGCATTAAAAAACTGAGCGTGTGTTCTGGCAACTGTAAACTGCACCTGGTGGGAGAAGCTAAATGTACAGGAATATCCGCGGCAGGGGTCTTTGATCTTCGCG